TTTGTAGAACCGCCTCGGCAATGAGTCCGGAGATTGGTGAACCCATTGGCGTGCCCTTGATCTGCTCGTATGTGGTCCCTTCGAAGGTAAAGAATGTCTTGAGGCAGTGCCCCATGAGTTCCATGAGATCCTGAGCTGTGGGTTGGCCGTCGCCCCCGTCGTAATTTTGACGTAGCAGGTCACTGAGCGTTTCGACCGCAAGGGCCTGTGGTATGGGCGTGAAGAGTGAGACGACGTCAAAAGACACTATCCTTTCATTCGGTTCGATCGTGACTGCCCTTATTTTGTCAAGGAATTGTTCTGCTGAGTGCACTGTTGTTTGTGAGCCTGCAGTTAGGAATCTAAGCTTCTGAAACAGCCAGCTTGCAAGCCCGTATGTGGGTGTGCCTCGGAGTGAGACGACTTCAATGCAGCTGCGGAAGTTGCAACCACGTTGGGGAAACCGGCCGACGGCTGCAAACGCGAATGCATGAGCATAAGTTGGCCGTGCGAAGGTTGGACCCAAAGTAGGAGGTAGCAACCCATGCCACGCAAATAGGACACATCTTCAACTTTGACGCCGTTGAGATTGTGGGCCGGGGCAGCGATCACACAGCAAGGCAAGTGCAAGAAGCCTGGATGTCCACCGACCGCTCTGTCAACCGCCACATCAATTTGCCTCCCCCCTATCTGACTTTACGAACCCTCTTAGCGGGGGACAGTCACGGCGCGGGACAATCGGGACCGTCAGTCATCACCGCGGCCGACGGGGGCGATTCAGGTCACGGTGACATGTGGGTTGGATGCAGCCACACAGGCGGCATTGGCGGATCACGCATTGGACAAAGGGCGCCATAATAAGGAGTGATGTGCACAGGACCTCCCAGTCCCTGAAGATGGGTAGACAAATAAACTACCCCAAACGTCGGATCTCAAATAAACCCCTCCCGGTGAACGCCCCCTCTTCTTTTGATATGCGATCTGGGAATCGGATTTTCACTACTATTTATGTAAATTTATTAAGTACAGCTGGATTTTACTGAAAGTCATCGCTTTTTCGTTATGTCATCTCGGAGTGCACATTACGTCCGTTATTCGACATATTTTTGCGTTAAACACTTTTATTTATTAGATGTGTGGAGACATCCCCCAGCGGCTGGCAACGACTTGTGAACAAATGACTTTTCACTGCGCTCGCAATCGTGGTATCCCGCCAAAGTATCTTCGATTCAATTTCAGTTTGCCGAATCAGACCGGAAGACGATTTAAGAGCAAATACCGTTTCCGTGTTATGCCTGTCATTCTATCATACGCCATCCATCATATTTACATTTCGAAGTAACAATTTTCGACCTTAGAATTTGGTGCGTCTTATGTTTGCCTGAAACTCAATTCTGAGACCTAATGTAACGAAGAAACGTCACCACCAAAAGCACCAAGATGAAAAAAACGAGCCAGTCTGCGGGAGAAAGCCTAGTTTCTTCTTTGCTTTACTGACAGGTGTATAATGTCTACGAGGGTTGTTAACTTTTCCAAAAGGGATCTATCTTCCGCTGAAATAAGCAACCTATCTAAGAGAATTTGAGCCAGTCACATTGATGCCGCATATACAGGCTTTCTATCCAACCCTGAATCCCTATTATTGTCCCTTGTCGTGTTTGGAGACATGCGTGTGGGCATAGACAACTCTGCCTATGGTCCTCCTCGGCGAAGGAAATATCACCAGTCTCTGCCGATCGAAGAAGAAAATTGATTGCGTTCGCTCAAAGCAGATGACAATGGGAGAGAAATCGTCTTCATGTACACGACTAACTTTGCCAACGAGACAAGCCCAATCTTCAATGAAAAGGAAGCCTATGCTTAACCCGCTGTAAACTCGACGAAAAAGCTGGCAGCAGCAATGAGGAAGAACGCGAATGAGCCTGCTCGCTTTGAACTTAGAAGCCATAGATGACCGAAAATTTATGTTCTTCGGCGACCCCGTGTCGCATATGTGTATGGTCACAGGGCAAGTGCGCCACTGAAGATCAAAGTGCCACGTACTGACTTCTCTGCCCAAATTCTTCCAAAATTGTTATACAGGCACCTACATTGCCTCACTAATGCATGGCAATACAGTGTCAAAAGATCATAGGCTCTCCTACAGCAGACACACGACCTTAAAATAAATCCTGAAGAATACATTTCCTCGTTCAATGCTGCCGCCCTGCTTCACTCAATATTACGTGACTTGGCAAGTGATACCGTAGTCTGATGCTTAGTGGAAAATCCTATAGGCATCCTAACACATGTTTTAGACATGCGTAAACTCTACTATCAACAGGTTAAGGGTACCCCAGCTGTCTCATCAATGTGGGCGCTACATGCAGAAATAGTCTTACAGCGACTAAAAGAGAATGTTGTGCAAATTATCTAACCAAAATTGACTCTGATATATAGATGAAACGTTCACCCTCATAAAGAACCGCAAAGTTGAGCGATTACACCAAAGATTGTTTACAGCTTACTCGCGAAGAAACAACAGGAGACACCCTCCGGTTTTTAGGTCGCAGTCTACAAAGACTCAGTGCTGGCAAAATCGCAACAGGCTTCCACCAAAAGTTTCTTTTTCGAAAGTCATCACCGACTATGAAATCAACCACCCTGCGGCCCACAATAGAAGCTGTGTCCGGAGCCTTCCGTAGGGCCTTTCGTAACTGCAGCAGCGATTACTTGCATTACATTAACAAGTATAAGATAGCCTCCGTCTAAGTGAACTCTTGTCCCTCGTGTTTGTGCACGCCCATGAGCGCAACCACCAACCCAATTAGGATGGCACTTTAGTGACCGCAGTGCAATCAGGTGCAAGAATTCCTTGAAGCTCACAATTCTAAAACGACCAGCATCAACTGCCATGTCGATTTAGATGCTTGCTACGGGGATTGCGAGCATGTACAGCGATGCGTACTTACCCCCAACAACAGCATATCCCTACTCATCCACGTAGAGCTTCACTGTCTCGCAATCCCCTCCCTCCGACAAGCGAACCACAACCGAAAATCCTAACACCTCCAACGCCGGTGCACTGACCCCCTGATCTCAAAGCACATAAAGGACCAACCGCCCGCATTCCCATCGATCCACCCTCCCGCTCCTCCTCCAGCACAGGGAGACATGGCAACTCTTCTTTCCCTCCTCTCCGCCCCAAAACCTACCGTGACTCAATGTTCATCACCCCACCCCCACGCATCATTTGTCCGTCTGTCGCGACAGCCGATCTGGGTTGCCGATTTTATTTTCTCCCCTGTTCATTTCGTCTGATGATGGGTTTGTGTCACTAACTTGAAAATTCTCGAATACAACTTAATTTAAAACTGTGTGCGCCGGTGATCGGCGACAGTACTGTTGCACTCAGTGTCGACAGCAAAGAGTAAGTTGCATGGTTTGCCCTATAAGTCTTTTTGTATAGTTTTCATGCATCCTACATTGACTTCCTTGCGGTTGACTAAATAACTAATGGCAATTTCAGGGAGTTAAGCAGAATAAAGGTTCGCTAGCAGTAGCATAAGACCAAATACCCTAAATTAATTTTTTCCGGCTATCTCGAGTGCACCACCACACCCCGGGCCCACAACGGAAATTGACCAAAACTTTGTACATCAAGAAAATGGGAAGACCGGCAGGGATCCAAATTAGGGCGGCATAAGCATGTTACCAGGCCTTCCACCAAGTCCCCGAGCGCTGGCATTTGTTATTGGTGCGTATCTCCCATAGCGCCTGCCAGAATACGATGTGGCCCCGCGTATTCATCCAACGCATCTACCGCGTGGCCCGTTTCAGGGGTCACCCGCACATATTTTCAATTGCTTAACAGTAATTTTTCATCCTGCGTTTGGTCAGCTGACATGAAAACCATTTGAACTTTGAGAAAATGTTATCATATGCAGTCATAAAGTCTCGTCGTTGAAGTAACTGAAGGAAACTGGCTGAAACAGTTCTCAAAAGCTAGTGGCAGTCGCTAATATTGCATGAATTCAGGCTGAAGTGCGAGCGCTGCACTTTCCACCTCCTCCCCAATCCATGAACCTTAACTAGGTCACGCGAAAGTTGACAAAAACATGGCTTTATTTATAGTAAAGACACGCCTTCTACACCATTCGTCAACTAAACACTCGACAATCCTGAATCGAAAGATGTGCAGAAGTTTTCCCGTTAGCCATGGAGCGTGCCTCCCCATCCATCAAGCAATGTATTGCACGTCGCCATGTCAGCCCTCGCATGGTCTGTAGGCGAGGGGTTCAGCTCGAAAACCCTTCGCTTTTGCTCTTTCCAGCAAATTTTCACCAATAACAGTAATAATGTGTTATCATTCCATCAGCTATTACACTCCTATCTCATCTTAACTACTCGAAGGCCTAGTCCCAGTTTGCTGTTTATACATAATGTCACAGAACAGCATCAAACTACGCGGGAATTCAGTAGACTTGGACATGCGATCTGGAATATAGGATTCGCTTCAAAAATTGAACTTCGAAAACTTGTCCAGCCTCCTGGTCTATAGGAAATATATCTTAGAGGAGTGCTTGCGGTCGTTCGGAATGGTGAATGGAACGAAAAGAGATGGAAAATAAGTGGCTTTTTCAAAGTCTTATTAAATACCATAACAGTGATAACTGATATGTATGTTTTAGTGCGGCCCTCCTATGCGTGGGCAGCTTTTTGACGTGGGGGCGGTGGCGTCGTCCGCGCGCGCTTCCCGTTTAACTTTTGGCGTTCATTGTTTGATTTCTGCATGCGATCCTCCTTGACTCCCCCTTTAACCTTGAAATCACAACACGCTTTGCAGCTGTATGTGTCATAAATGATGACTGTTAGCATGCCATCAACTGCATATTATTCCTCGGATGCGAAAAACTCCTATGCGCCTGTTGCAGCGGGACAAGCAACTCTTTTGGAACAATCAGTCATGAAGAGTGCCCTGCTGCACAGACCCGGGGATACTTATAGCTCCCAACCACCCAGCATCCCGAGCGCCAGTCTTAGCGCAGCGATCGCTTCCTCGTTATCACTAGGTGATAATAACCAAGGTCTTTCACGGCTTGAGGATGTACCCCTCGAATTGCTCAATAGGAATATATCCTTTCACCGTTCCCCGTCGGCACCACTTGACGTATTAATAAAGTCGAGGATTGAAAAGATGCCGAACTCCCTTGTCCTAGTGAACAATAGCAAAGCCGACAGCGAAGGTAGGTTCCTCCTGCATCCCACGTGTAGGGTTGGCTCATTTTACGATTAGTGTCTTACGTTGCCACGTAAATTACTTGCAGAACGCCTGCATTGCTTTAACTAGTCAACGCTACGATTTCTGAGGTTAACATTGCAAAATTTGTAGATAATTGATTTTATCTCCGCCCTCATTTTTACCATATTAGTTGACTCTGGAGTGCCTCAAAGCTGCAAACGAGTCTTGTTTACGGACGCCGAACTCCTCCGATGCTGTCAACAGGCACAGTCTTCGCTTCCTCGTAGCATCATGGGTCTCCACAATGCAGGGAACACGTGCTACTTGAATTCTGTGCTGCAGTGCCTTCTGGCCACCGGTCCTCTTCTTTGCTACATTGTGGGGAATCATAATCGTTCAAATAACTGTCCGTATATCAGCGGAAAAGCGAACAATGGGATGCGACGTTTTTGTGCCCTTTGTGGATTATTTAAACTCTACCAGGAACACGAGCCCCAAAGTGCGTTTCCACACCAGTCGAGCATCTTTAATCGGACCTCAGCAGGGCAGACGACGCCTTCGTACTTTGTGTCGAATGTTAGAGGTAAGGAATCCAGTCGACCGTTTACTCTTCATAACTTCTGATACCTGAGGATATAACTGTTTAATTATGTAAATAGATCTAATAATGAGATCGTATCAGCGTTAGTCCTTTATTTTTCTACAAAGTCGGCGCCTGTCACCCAATTATATGTAGGCCTGACGCTTGTAGCTGCATTACCTAGTGTTCATAAGAAAAGAATAACCCAGTTGGGATACTACAATAACATTTATGACAAATTTTAGATAGGTACTCCGACCATACTTTAAAGCCCGTGATATGCTTACCCAGGGCGAACTGTGTACACACTAAGATGTTTTTGCCCTGCCAGAGGCCCTTTCCTATCAGAATTTAAATTCTTCTGCAGAATCGCTTTAAACATAGACACAGTTGCACCCTACTATCAATGCAGTACTTTCAAAACTTGGCGTTATGAACTTTCTCATCTTTAACCTAGTGTTCTGCTGCGTCCGCCAATACCTGTTAATCTGCACACCCACTTATGCACCTAAAGTAACCCTCCGACCCGTTCCT